AAATTAAATACCTGGTTCTAGTTCTCAAAGCTGTTTAAGAGTTTACCAGTGATTAATGAATTCTTTTATTGTTGCCAGTGCCATTTAATTAATCTTATTATCACAACAATCCACATCTATGAATTAATAAAAATCATTCTCAAATCTGTTTAATTCATATTTAGTTTTTTAGAGTTTTGAAAACAGAGGCCTCAAATTGTCAATGACTTTAAATTGCTGATAACACACTGGTTTGAAATTAAAGAATTTAATAATGTAGGTCTTGAAACTTTCATCAGATATGTTTCAAGTATTCTTTTAGGGAAACTTTGATCTGCTTGGGATGAAAATAAAAAAGTTAAGTTAATTTCTGTCTGTTTTACTCTTCACATATGTCCTACAGTGAATTGAATTTTTATGGAATTGATCAAAGTTCATGCTAAGATTAATTCTAAAATAAAGAAATTTTGTTTCAGAAGTTTCAGGTCAAATTCTTCATTACTATTTAAAGAAAAGCATAGACCAATTCAATGTCCTTGTTCCACTAGCTGCATTTCCTTGGGGAATTGAGAAAAGCATTTTCTTAGGAGGTTGTATTTGACATAACCTTCAAGGAGTTTGTGTGTCAGGATTCTAAGGTCAAGGTCACCATTTGCTTTAATAGAAATTTGTCAAACTGACATTTATGCCTTACAAAAATGATGAAGTCTCACACTGATGACTTTCACTGAATTGTTTTCTCATCCCGTGTGTAAAATAGAAATATATGGGATCAGACAGTGCCACCATGTGGGTACCCGAATCTGGTATGAGAAAATTAGGATCTTGTGGGGAGCCAATTTTGTTGTTATCCTTTTAACAACTAAATCAACACAACCTTTTTTTTATGACTACTTTGTGAATATGATGGAATTTGTACTTTATAAAGATGATTCAAATTTCACCAAAAATATGTCACTATAATGATGAAGCTTAGCCATTTTTGTCTGAGAGGAACCTCTTTTTTAATGCAAAAATATTTAACATTTGTGAAAACCTGAAATGAAGTATGATTAATTCCTTACTGGATGAAAATATCTCCCTGATGCAGAACCCAGTGTAAATGTAGTCTGCTTGTCACACCAAAGTGCAAGAGATAGTGCCTAGTGCCTGCTCCAGGATGACGGGCACACTTCACAATTCATTACACTGAAATTGTTATGTTCCTTTCACCAAGCCTGTTAATTAAACTCTCATTAAACATGTACACATGTAGTTGAAAGGGTTGTCATTCATTTTGCTAATTATTGTATTTTGGTAATTCATTAAAACGCATTAATCGCTGATGTTACACTTTTCCTCCATACACAATTAATGATGTAATGATTCTGGCTCTCAGAAGAAACAAGTTTTTAATTTCTCTACTTTCATTATATTTTAAAGACTCTTTCTTAGCTAACTGTTGTATGACATATTAATGACATACTATTCTGTGCAAACCTTTGAATTGTTTTATGAATTAAAATTAATATATTGTTTTTATAAGCATGATAGTAGTAGGGATGAGGATAGCACAGTCACCCAGAGCATAATGGCCTACATATCCTGGGCTGATTTCAAACCTGAGCTGCATGGTTTGACGCCCCCTACCTGCATACAAAATTAATGATGTACTTGCTCTCAGAAGAAGCAAAATTTTAATTTCCTTGCTGTCATTTTGAAGATTTTTTTATGCTTATTTTTTAATAACATCTTTTTGACATATAATTCTGTGTATACCCTTTAACTGCTCTCTGAATCACAAACAATGTATTATGTTTATGAGTGTTTTGGTGGTCTTAAGGGGCTGCAATCATAGTATAGTCAGTAGACCATTGGCCTACATGACAAGGTGAAGTATAGTCAGCAGACCATTGGCCTACATGACAAGGTGAAGTATAGTCAGCAGACCATTGGCCTACACGACAAGGTGAAGTATAGTCAGCAGACCATTGGCCTACACGACAAGGTGAAGTATAGTCAGCAGACCATTGGCCTACACGACAAGGTGAAGTATAGTCAGCAGACCATTGGCCTACACGACAAGGTGAAGTATAGTCAGCAGACCATTGGCCTACATGACAAGGTGAAGTATAGTCAGTAGACCATTGGCCTACATGACAAGGTGAAGTATAGTCAGCAGACCATTGGCCTACATGACAAGGTGAAGTATAGTCAGCAGACCATTGGCCTACATGACAAGGTGAAGCGGGGCACGGTTTAATGATTCCCACCGATATTGGTTTGTGTTTCTTGGGAAGCTTAGATACAGACTGGTCTATGCTTACATGGTTGCATCCTTGGAGAAGACACTTTATGTTGTTCAGTAAGGTAGTCACCAGCTGAAGTAGACCCCACTTCAATATAACATGTACTGTTAAACCCAGATAACAAACAAATCAAGAATTTTCTTCTTTATTTTTCCAACCTGAAGAATAAGATTTAATTGAGTTAATACTACTCAGGTACAGTGTTCAGTTGTGATGTCGTATGACTCCTTTGTTGAATTTTATGCTGATTTGAATCTTTCTTATCTCACATGTAATGTTAAATGACCCCTCTAAAAATTTATATTTCCCTCCAAAAAGCATTTTATAGAATAAGTAAGTATAATTAAGTAATTTACCTTGACGATCATGCAGTTTTACATTTTACCTTGACGATCATGCAGTGTTACATTTTACCTTGACGATCATGCAGTGTTACATTTTACCTTGACGATCATGCAGTGTTACATTTTACCTTGACGATCATGCAGTTTTACATTTTACCTTGACGATCATGCAGTGTTACATTTTACCTTGACGATCATGCAGTTTTACATTTTACCTTGACGATCATGCAGTGTTACATTTTACCTTGACGATCATGCAGTGTTACATTTTACCTTGACGATCATGCAGTGTTACATTTTACCCTGACGATCATGCAGTGTTACATTTTACCCTGACGATCATGCAGTTTTACATTTTACCCTGACGATCATGCAGTGTTACATTTTACCCTGACGATCATGCAGTTTTACATTTTACCCTGACGATCATGCAGTGTTACATTTTACCCTGACGATCATGCAGTGTTACATTTTACCCTGACGATCATGCAGTTTTACATTTTACCCTGACGATCATGCAGTTTTACATTTTACCTTGACGATCATGCAGTGTTACATTTTACCTTGACGATCATGCAGTGTTACATTTTACCTTGACGATCATGCAGTTTTACATTTTACCTTGACGATCATGCAGTGTTACATTTTACCTTGACGATCATGCAGTTTTACATTTTACCTTGACGATCATGCAGTGTTACATTTTACCTTGACGATCATGCAGTTTTACATTTTACCTTGACGATCATGCAGTTTTACATTTTACCTTGACGATCATGCAGTGTTACATTTTACCTTGACGATCATGCAGTGTTACATTTTACCTTGACGATCATGCAGTTTTACATTTTACCTTGACGATCATGCAGTGTTACATTTTACCTTGACGATCATGCAGTTTTACATTTTACCTTGACGATCATGCAGTGTTACATTTTACCTTGACGATCATGCAGTTTTACATTTTACCTTGAAGATCATGCAGTGTTACATCGTACAGCTTGTTTACCTTTGCAAGGAGAAATTTCAGAAATTAAAAAAAGGAAAGAAGATAATTATTAAAACTTCAAAAGAAAAAAAATATTCAGAATTATGGTATTCCAAAAAAGGAAAGACTATTCTTTACAAAAAACAATTATAAAATTTTATGTTTTATATAAATAAAGATTCCATTGCTAAATACATAGCTAGTTTTCTCAGTTACACAATGTCTGATATTATATTGCTGATTTATGTTACTGATATTTCTGTCATTTCTCAAAAAGCCATAAAATGCTATAAACTAGGCTGTCTGAAAAAGATGTAACAATATCAAAATGTGACTATAGACTCATTTTAAATTAATAGCATTGTTGATAACCACAGGGTTAATCTCTGTGATTTCCAGCTTTATAGATACATCCTCAAGAAAACATTCAACCAATATTGTTATATTACAGCACTACATGAACTAAATTGACCAACACTTAACACAATACAAAAATGTTACAAAAGTAAGGGGACAAAAAAATGAAATGGTGAAAATCACACATTTCAAACACATTTGGATTGTTAATACGTGAATTATTCCCTTGAATTACCCCTATTACCCCATGGTCAATCTTAATTTAAATTACTGTCCTTTTATTTAAAAATGGCATCAGGTCAATATGGTATATCATTATTTTATATTGATAATACTTCTAAAACACGCTTTATACCATTGGAAATTTATTAGAATTTTTTCATTAGTTGTGTGTATTTTGCTCTGGCCAGTCGTATATAGAATTTCAATTAGTTGTCTAAAAGCATTGCAAGTGTTATATTTTTATGTTGAGGAAGAACGTATCTTGAACAATATAGTAATGGATATGAAATATTTCCTGTGAGATGATAAACCCGGAAATTTCAACTGTCGGGGTAAAATTTGAAGACTCGTCAATCCATCGAAACAAAACTCCTGCTCTATGCAGTTATATGGAATGACATGAAATGATGGATTTCCTTATTCTATGATTTCTTAAAGGAAGTGGGAGGAGGGGCAATTGATGAAGTTTTCTCTGGAACATTTTGGAATTACAATATTAGGTTTTAAAAAAACATTTAATTGAAAATGTTTTACCTAATCCTTTCCATATAATGTCAATGATAAATAAAATGCATATAGGATATGGGAGTTATAATGTTAAGGAATTCTAACCTCATGATTGATAATCATGTAATGGCTGAAAAAAATTATGAAACAAAATTTATGCCATGGCTGATCAGATTTATCATCTTGCAAGGAGAGCTATCATGAATATGCTGGTGTATTTATGGTGATTTTCCACCCGTAGTTCTATAAAGCATCCCTTACTGGTACTAATTACCAAAGGTTTGTAATGTAATCAACTGGTTTTTGTCATTACAGGAAAGAGTAAGTAAGAAGTCACTGTTCCAGCCTCTGCAAGCCAATGAGACCTTTGTGGACGACTATAAGGAGAACTCGAATCCCGGGGTTGGGGAGGCCAGGCCCGGGGGGAGGGGACACAGTGACAGGAGAGACCATGCTAATGGTGATGATGCAACCACTGCTCTCCAGCACTACAGTGGTACGGCTGCTGGCGATGAATCATCACAAACCGCCGCCACCGAATCATCTCCTTCATCTGTGGCAGAGCTGGCAGTGTTGTCCATGACTCATCCTGCCAGCCTCTGTACCAGCCAGGCCAGTACAGCACCGCGCACACGACACCCCACCCAGGCATGCTCCACGGGGCATGGACACACTAGCGCACACCTCGCACCCCCACCCCCCAGCCACGCCCTGCTCACCACCCCCGGGATTACACCAGACCAGGAATTCTACCAAACGTCCACCCATGGAAGCCATGATATTAAAGGTTTGGCCAAGGTGCCAAGTGCGGTGCCTTGCAGCCCCGTAAACCCCCACCCAGGCACCACGGCATGGACAAAATATGGAGACAGCATCAGCAGCATTAACTCTCCGCAACTTCAGGTAAGTCAAAAATCAAATGCCAACAGCAGATTTCTCAATCTCCAGATTTCATAAATTATCACCTTGTTCTCATTTCCAGTGTATTTCATAAAGTTTCTGGTCAAAAGACATTTTCAAGGACATCTACAACATTTTAGGATAATTTTTGGCATAATATTTTAACACTGACTTAATGCATTCTATGAATGCTTCCAAAAATTCATTTGTTTGAATGTTAAAACATATGCTAATGTAGAGTTGTAGGTTTTTTTATATACATATATATTATGTGGTCTTGGTGAGAAATCATTGTTCTTGTAAGTTATCTGTAGATAAGGCTTGCAAAATTAAGCAAAAGTCTGCTTTTTTGACAGGACAATAATCTCCAAATTTCAATTCCATATAAGGGTACATTGACTAAATATATTCATTGAAATCAGTCAACTTACTGGAAATTATAAGCATTCCTATGTTGCAAATATGCCTTTAGGATGAACTGGTGATACTGAAATTTCCTCAAACTATTAGTATTTTGGATTTGATGAGAAAATGGCTGGCTGAAATCTAGAAGCTCATATTGTTGTTTTTTTTTCTTTTTTTTAAAGAGTGCATTATTTTTTGGTGCAAGAGGTTGCAGTATTCTTTGAAGTCTTTGACCTTATATAATGTCTGGGGAATATTTTGTTAAAGTTCATGACAATATTTATTGATGTTTCAAAGCCCAGATTTATGTTGACACAAAGAGATGTCTTGTTTGTTATAACTTAGATATGATCAACTTTACTAATCTGAAAACCCATATGTGCAAAACTGTTAAACTCACTGACACATAGGAATATGTAAAGTCATATATTAAAGTGCACATAATGTATAAGTGTCTTGAATATTTTAACTGGTATTTAAGTTTTAAAGCAAACAATAAATCAATAGTTACAATGTATTTGTCACTGATAGCATTTTAATTATCACTGGTTTTATCATGTTTTCAAGTAACCTTAGTGATATTTTCATTGGCTGTTATGAAAAGTATATTGGTAATATCAGTTTTCAATTATCAAAATTTGCAAATAATCCAGTGAGATTAATTATCATCAGGATAGAATGTATTTACATAGAATTAAGTTCTGGTATCTTTTTGATGTTTACAAGTTATTTGCTATGAAAGGAGTTTTCAGTTTAATAGCAAAAAACATTTTCTGCAAATTTGAGTGCTAGATATCTTTCGTATAAAGTATTTTGTAAAGGTCTTCAACTTTACAAAGATATGATTCAATACATTTGCCATAGATTTTGAAGTTTTTTTTATAAAAGAAGAGTCTTTGTCATATTTGAGGTTTATTTAGAGCAGATTGCTAAATACTTATCGGATAGCAAAGAATTTCAAAATCAGTAGTTAATAAAGTATTGCCAAATATTTGAAGTGTTTAGGATATAAAGTTATTAAGTATTTGCTACATTTTATTTTCAGTATAGTCTTTAATGAATAAATATCAAATGTTTCAATAGTGTTGAAAGTTTTGCTTGAATGAGTTTTCTACCATCATTAATTACTACAAATATTTTTATGTTTTTCGATCAATTTAAAAGGGGGGTCATAAAGCATTTGTCACATATTTGGGGTTTTAAGGGTCTTAAGTCATGAAGTATTTCCTAAAATTTTAGTTCTAATATAGTCTTTTGATTAATAAAGATTAAACATTTCAATAGGAATAAGGCATTTGTCAAAGATTTGAGGTTTTTAGAATCTTAAGTCATAAATTATAAGGCAATCTGATGTCTTTTACAGCCTCTTGTTAAATGATATTGAAGGGTTCTTTTCTTAATCAATAGTGATAAAGTTTTTGCCGAAGATCCAATTTTTTTTCATTTATCTGTAGATATAAAATTTTTACATAGTGATTTCAGCACCATAAAGCATTTGTTTTGTTGCCTCCCCGGAGATGCACTAAACCAGATGCTTGCTCTCAAGTTATGGTTGACATTCAATTATTTATTTTTTTACCATCATCAGGGGAATATAGTGAGCTGTGTGACAGGGAATGTTGATAAAGCTTGTCACTGTTTAATGGAACAGTGCCTGGCTAATCAAACCTCAAACTTAATTAGGCTGGAAATAAAAACAATTAGCTCCACTACTTACAGCTGGTCTAGCCTTGTTTTACAGACTTTTGAGAACAAGATTCTTTTTTAAATAAAGATTCTTTAGATTGTCACCAGAACTGAAGAGAAAAATAAATAGTATATTTTTGGTATAATAAATTCCATATTTTTTCAATTTTTGTGCCTAGAATGTTTTAAATGAATGATATGGTATTTCTTCATCTTTGAAATTGTTGATGTAATAAGAAAAAAATGTAAATTAGGTTTTTCTTAATATTGGCAAAAAAAGTATGGATTTTTTTTCTCTTCTCTTTATTCTTTTTCTAGTTTTTTCTGACATGTATGGTTTATAGAAATACTATTAAGATGTTGCTGGTAATGTTGAGGGGGTGATTTCAATATTACAGTATACCATTCTAGAGGACAAACCCTGGGATCACCTAATTCTCTTAGATTTGGATGACACTTTCTGATAAAGTCAGCAAGTTATTTGACATGCTTTTGTTGGTGTTACAATTCTGAAGCTCTGAGCATTTGATGATAGATGTTACTGATCTGGTATAATAGGGAGAGACCTACATGTATCAGAGAGCTTTGTAACACTCCGGAGACCCAAGTGTTTTTGTAGATGCAATCATATGCCAAATTTTATAGAACAAATGCCTCGACTGTGATACAATGATATTAAAACCCTGAGAATACTAACACATGATGCCTGATTCCTTTCCTACTATGCACAATACAGCCTTCTAGGGGGTTTTATGGAATGACCCAGCATTGGTATAATGGACACCCATTCTTCATCAATTACAAAAACACGCTCAGATTTAGCCTGCTGTTATAAAAAGAATATTTTATTGTGATCTTTGCAAAGGCATCTTCAATTTGACCTTCAGGTAGCTTTTGATGAAGAAATTAATGGCCATGTTTTAAAGGAGGTTGGAAGTGAAATATGGATCTCCTTTTTTTTTCCTTTTTTTTATGATAAAATATCACATTATCTGGATGTGCTCGATTAAAAAAAAAAGATTTGTCATGTCCCTAGCAATGAAAGTTTTATCCAATGAAGACAACACCTCAGTGTATTTCATGATTGAAATATATGATGGGAAAATTCAATCAAAGAAATTTTTAAAAAGAAGTAGGGAAAAAAAAATAAAAATTGTTACATTTATGTAGAATGTGGCGCCTGTTGAACAAACAGTTGCCATCACAATCACAAGGATCATTTCCTTTATTATTTGTTAAGTTTATAATAAATATCCCGATTTAATAACTTATTTTCAATCTGGGTGAATTAAAGCAGTAGTTTTTCTAACATAGAAAAGTTGTATGTATAATTTTATCATGGTTAGGATGTAACCATTTCTGCATCTAGCATTATAATCTGCTGTCAATTGTGCTGTGAGCAATCCAACTTGATGTTTGATATTTATGAAAAGAAATAGATAAAAAGATCATACCAAGTAAAATATCTTACTGTAATATAATTAAGGATAATAATAACTGCATTTCTGATCCTACTATCTGTGAAAATGTGCTCAAAGTACAAAATATCTTCCTGTAATATAATTAAGGATAATAATAACTGCATTTCTGATCCTACTATCTGTGAAAATGTGCTCAAAGTAAAAAATATCTTACTGTAATATAATTAAGGATAATAATAACTGCATTTCTGATCCTACTATCTGTGAAAATGTGCTCAAAGTAAAAAATATCTTACTGTAATATAATTAAGGATAATAATAACTGCATTTCTGATCCTACTATCTGTGAAAATGTGCTCAAAGTAAAAAATATCTTACTGTAATATAATTAAGGATAATAATAACTGCATTTCTGATCCTACTATCTGTGAAAATGTGCTCAAAGTACAAAATATCTTCCTGTAATATAATTAAGGATAATAATAACTGCATTTCTGATCCTACTATCTGTGAAAATGTGCTCAAAGTACAAAATATCTTCCTGTAATATAATTAAGGATAATAATAACTGCATTTCTGATCCTACTATCTGTGAAAATGTGCTCAAAGTACAAAATATCTTACTGTAATATAATTAAGGATAATAATAACTGCATTTCTGATCCTACTATCTGTGAAAATGTGCTCAAAGTACAAAATATCTTCCTGTAATATAATTAAGGATAATAATAACTGCATTTCTGATCCTACTATCTGTGAAAATGTGCTCAAAGTACAAAATATCTTCCTGTAATATAATTAAGGATAATAATAACTGCATTTCTGATCCTACTATCTGTGAAAATGTGCTCAAAGTACAAAATATCTTCCTGTAATATAATTAAGGATAATAATAACTGCATTTCTGATCCTACTATCTGTGAAAATGTGCTCAAAGTACAAAATATCTTACTGTAATATAATTAAGGATAATAATAACTGCATTTCTGATCCTACTATCTGTGAAAATGTGCTCAAAGTAAAAAATATCTTCCTGTAATATAATTAAGGATAATAATAACTGCATTTCTGATCCTACTATCTGTGAAAATGTGCTCAAAGTAAAAAATATCTTCCTGTAATATAATTAAGGATAATAATAACTGCATTTCTGATCCTACTATCTGTGAAAATGTGCTCAAAGTACAAAATATCTTCCTGTAATATAATTAAGGATAATAATAACTGCATTTCTGATCCTACTATCTGTGAAAATGTGCTCAAAGTAAAAAATATCTTACTGTAATATAATTAAGGATAATAATAACTGCATTTCTGATCCTACTATCTGTGAAAATGTGCTCAAAGTAAAAAATATCTTACTGTAATATAATTAAGGATAATAATAACTGCATTTCTGATCCTACTATCTCAAAGTAAAAAATATCTTACTGTAATATAATCGAGGATAATAATAACTGCATTTCTGATCCTACTATCTGTGAAAATGTG